TAAAAAAATAATTAAAATCAACAAAATACAAATCGAAGAAGATACAGCAACTATCATCAATAGGTACCAGGTAACGAAGATACACAGGAGGAGACAGGAGGGGACAGGAGGGGATAGGAGGGGATAGGAGGGGATAGGAGGGGATAGGAGGGGATAGGAGGGGATAGGAGGAGACAGGAGGGGATAGGAGGGGATAGGAGGGGATAGGAGGGGATAGGAGGAGATAGGAGGGGACAGGAGGGGACAGGAGGAGACAGGAGGAGACAGGAGAGAGGAGACAGTTAGTGTTAGAGGGAGAGAGGAGGAGACAGGAGGAGACAGGAGGGATAAGGGATAGGTACCACGTAAGAAAAAAAAAAGGAGAGACGAGACTGCTCCTGCTGCTGCTGCTGCTGCTGCTGCTGCTGCAGGAGTCTGGTCCAACACCACTAGACAACAATCGCGCGGGGACTCCTCTAATTGAAGTCGTAACACAGGCAAGGGTTTAGGGTTTAGGGTTTAGGGTTTGGAAATTAGGGTTTAGGGTTTGGAGATTAGGGTTTAGGGTTTAGGGTTTGGAGATTAGGGTTTAGGGTTTAGGGTTTACTGTTGTTTTTTCTTGTGTCTCTCCTTTTTGTGGGAGTTTTTTATGGCAAATTAAGTGTCCCCTTCAGTAACTGCTGCTGCTGCTGCTGCTGTTGCTGCTGCTCCTGTTGCTGCTGCTGCTGCTGCTGCTGGTGTGTATAGGCAGATGTAATGACAGCGTCAGAGGCAGCAGCATTTGTTCATGAATTATTCGTTGATCTTCGTAATGCAGGTTCGTACCCTACTGTCTCCTTCTTATTTCTCCCCTTTATCTGTCTCCTTATCTGTCTCCTTATCTGTCTCCTTTTTATTTCTCCCCTCTATCTGTCTCCTTATCTGTCTCCTTATCTGTCTCCTTTTTTGTTTCCTTTTTTGTCTCCTTTTTGTGTCTCCTTTTTGTGTCTCCTTGTAGGTATATGTCTCCTTATATGTCTCCCCCTAATCTGTTTCCTTATCTGTCTCCTTATGTGTCTCCTTATGTGTCTCCTTATGTGTCTCCTTATGTGTCTCCCTTATGTGTCTCCTTATGTGTCTCCTTATGTGTCTCCTTATGTGTCTCCTTTTTTGTCTCTTTTTTTTTTTTTTTCTTTTTTTTTTCTCCTTTTTTTTTCTTGTAGGTATATGCCGTGGGTTAATGGCATTTGGTCGTCTTCGTTGTGATTTAAATTTGTCTCTTAGATCTAAATTAACAGGAAAAGATTACCCAAGGGTAAATTAATTAAATAAATAAATAAATAAATATATAAATAAATATAATTTTTTAATTGTCCTATTTATGTAATTAATCTATCTATTTATTAATTTAATTAAATTAAATTAAATTTAATTTAATTACTTAATTATATTTATTTATATATTTATTTATTTATATATTTAATTAAGTAATTAAATTTAATTTAATTTAATTTAATTAAATTAATAAATAGATAGATTAATTACATAAATAGGACAATTAAAAAATTATATATATTTGTATATATATCCTTATACCTCTCTCTTTTTGGGGCTGCATGCATGCATGCATGCATGCATGCATGCATGCAGTTGGGGTGTATATGGAGGTATTATTGCATGCATGCATGCATGCATGCAGGTAGAGGTAAAGAATGTGCGTAGCGTAAAGGCAATAAGAAGAGCAATAGAGTACGAAGAAAAGAGACAAAAGGAGACAATAAAAAGGAGACAAATTATACAGCCAGAGACTAGGCATTGGCATGATGCACTTAGGGTATAATTCTTCTGCTGCTGCTGCTCCTGCTGCTGCTGCTGCTGCTGGTCCTGCTCCTTCTCCTGCTCCTGCTCCTGCTGCTGCAGATTCTGCTGCTGCTGCTGTTTTTGCTGTTGTGTTTGCTGCTGTGTTTACACTGCAAGTGTTTAGGTAGCAACAAGTGCATCCACAGCAGCAGCAGCAACAGCAGCAACAGCAGCAGCAGCAGCAGCAGCAGCAGGTGTGCTATTGGTGTATTTGCTGCAGCGTACAGTACATTTACGAGGAAAGCCTAACTCTTGTTGGGTATATTTTCCTTATAAGGAGACACAAATACCTCCTGTGTATATAGATAAGGAGACAAAAGAAAGAATTAAGTAATAAGGAGACACTTCCTGCTGCTGCTGTTGCTGCTGCTGCTGCTGCTGCTGCTGCTGCTGCTGCTGTTATTATTATTACTGTTTGTATGGATGGGCATCATCTTCTTTCTTTATGCCGTCGCTTTTGCCTCTCTTTGAATATTATCACTTCTAGGGTTTAGGGTTTAGGGTTTAGGGTTTAGGGTTTAGGGTTTAGGGTTTAGGGTTTATATACAGGAAGGGTTTAGTGTCTCCTTCTTCTGTTCGTCGTAATAAATATAAAAGTTGGGGATTAGGAGAACAGCAAAGAATTGCTATTGCTAAGGACATAAAGGTAAGAAAAAAAAAAAAAAAAAAAAAAAAAAAAAAT